GACCTATACAATTTTTTTTTCCTTTTGATTTTTAACCTGGATTACTGAGATGCATCAGGATGCAATAATATAATTCCTGAAATACAAATACTTCTTAAGTACAAGCCTTTTGTTTTAATAATTATGTCCTGCTGGAGTGTGACATGATTCGTTTGTGTACAAACTAATACGGTATCAGAATTTTATATATTTATACTTCTCATTCAACCACAATTAAATTCACTCTATCTAGGAGGCACAATTTGTATGGATAGTTTTTATTTTTTACAACAAGCTGGAATGAAAACAAGCAAAAATTAAATAAAAGTAACGACTTTATACTTCTTGCTTTTTAAAAAAAATGTAAGGAGCACAAAGTACAGATAGCTGTGTGAAAATGTAAGAAGTAGAAGTAAAAAGAAGGCTGAAAAATAATTACTCAAGTAAAGTACAGATACCCAAAAATTCTACTTAAATACAGTAAAGAAGTATTTGTACTTAGTTACTTTACAACTCTGATGATATTCAAAAATTTGAGTCTAAATTAAGCCTTTTTTAGTCTTAGTTCTTACTAATATTTCTGTTTGTGTGGGAACAGGCTCCAAACCTGACTCTGTGGGTCAGCACCGGTCAGCCCCTGCACCTGGTCTCGGCTCTTTCGATCAACGGTTCTGCTGCTGGAGATCTGTTCTGGGATGATGGAGAGACCATGGACACCTTCGAGACCAACCAGTACACCTACATCATCTTCAACGTCACCCAGGTTTTCACGCTCGATTTTTTCCACCGCCTCTCCCATCCATCTGGAATCACGATCCGATTTGGATCAGAAATCCAGTTGATAGTTTGGACCAACTGTGCTCTAGTTTGTTGAAACTGTAAAAGAAGTTGGAAACAGAATATTCTGGTCAGGAGCTGCGAGTCATCCTACACTCATCGAAAGCTTTTGACCTTGTTTACAGAGAAATCTCAGTTTGTAATTTAAAGAAATGATGTTTCATTAAACAGTCCTGACATTTCATTTGAAATTATTGTCTTTTTACGCAATTAAACATGTCAGGTTAATTCTCTTTACAGAAAACTGTTTTGTCAATTTTTATACTATTAACATTTTTTACTGTTGGGATGTAACTGTGCTCCCTGTTAAATTAAGGCTAATCCAAACATTCAATACAACATAAATGAAAAGACATGTAAAGTTCAGATGTGTAATGTTCATATTTAGTAAACGTATATAATAATTTGATTAAATATTACTTACCTATTTTTTTTTCTCAGAATGTGATGAYATCCCAGGTGCTCCACAGCCAACAAGAAGCCACGTTCATCTCTGTCGCCTCAGCATCTTTCTACGGTGTCCAGGAGAGGCCAGACAAAGTGCTGGTGAATTCCCAAGAAGTACAGTTCTCCTACAGAGACAACCAGGTGAGGAGGGGAGGTGTTGTGTACAAACATTTTTAATAAATGAGCTTATCCAAGAAAGAGCAAGGAGTTGGGCTAAAATAAGCACAAAAGGTAGAAGCCTCAAACGAGCCAGAAGTTCACCATCAGATTGCCCTCCTAACCCTATAATTATAATCCAAACGACTTGTCCCAAGAACCAAAATCCTGGTAAACAGAACCGTCCCAAACCCGGCTAACAATCACAGCTATTAAAGGGACAATATTATGTGTTTCTCAGGCATACATTTAAACACTATACCATAATAAAGTATCTATGTCACCTTTAGCTGTTATTAAAATGCTGTTTTTAT